AACGACTCAGGAACTGGACCATCCCAAGGAATGTTTGTTGATCTGCAAGGCTGGTCGAGGGGTCCATAGACAGTATGGAGTTGATCTTCCGTGGATCAGGCTGGAGACCTTCAGCACTTATGATATGGTCAAAGAAAAGAACTGAATTGCACCTGAATTTACATTGGTCCAGGTTGAAGCGAAGACTAGCCTCACGAGCACGCCGAAGAACAGCACGAAGGTTTTCATCATGATCGCTAAAATCACTGCTGTAGCCATGCACAACAATGTCAGCCGCAACTCCAGTGACACGTGGTAAGTCACCAAAGGTTTCGTCCACTTTCCTTTGGAAAATGTCCTGGGCACAAACTAGGCCGAAAGGCAGACGCAAAAATCTCTATCTTCCAAACGGCGAGTTAAAGGTAGTCAACACCGAGCTCCTCCTGGGTAAGCTTGATATTCCAGTAACCGCTGCGTGCATCAATGATCGAGAAGCATTTAGCCACCATTAAGTTTAGGTAGAACATCCTCTAGTGTAGGTGTAAAGTAGTGTGGCCTCTTGATAGCACAGTTCAGATCTTTAAGGTCGAAGCAAAGCCGTACACAAGGACAAAAAATTATTTAAGTCTTCTTAAACATGGATTAATCATGTCTTAAACTCAAGTTTAGTCGGTTTAAGTTGATGTCTAAGACACTTAAACCTACTGTTTTAATGCTCTATTAATGATGGCAATTAAACTTGTCTGAAACTCATTTTTAAGTGTTGTTTAATTGATGTACACAGAATTTCCTCAATTCAGTCTGTTCTTTGTTGTCATGTTTATGGAAATTCTGGCTCAAAATTTGCCAGTTAATAGTAATGATAATATTGGATAATAATTTGTTGTAATTAACTCAGTTGTTTTCATGATTACAATTGTTTGTAGAAACACCAACCCAGTTATTTACTGAAATACCACCCATGTATGTACACAATAACAGTTTTTTCCTTTTCAGGTGTCTTTTATTCACAGCATATGATCTGATGATTAAATTCCAAATGTGATAAATAATACTATGTCAAATACCATGTTTATATAACTTTTACATAACAAAATTATCCTATCTTCTAACCGCTGATCACATGTTACTTAAAACAACCAGCAATATTTGCTTTCTTGTATAGAATGAAAGCATACTTCTTGTAGGCTTAAATTAACGGAAATACTCCTAACTTTCTTCATAATAAAATGCCAAAATACACTCAGATTAAAGAGTGCAATATCTGTAGTGTTAACCTCTATGGGCTGGGCTTAAACCTGAGGGTAGGGGCCATTATTGGCTCATTAGAAGTTTATGTACCCACTCTCCCCCTCAATAATTGAAACTGAATTTGTCTATGATTAAAATATAAACTAAAGTAGGCGATAGTAATTCTAGTAATATTATATTATTCTTAAGTGCTCAGTGTGAGAATGGCTTGAGGCTTTGATATTCCTTGTTTTTCTTTTTAGTACTCAAGGCACAAGCACTTAGGCAAAGCCAAATGAAGTTGAAACACAAAATTCGACTCTCCAATTAATAAGCAAGCTAACACTTCCCTGTTTCACAAAGTGAAATGAAACTTTGAATGTCTCACTGTCACAATTTTATTTTGCTAGCAAAACAAGCAGAAGTTATTCAAATGAGGATCCAGGGTAGTCAGTGCTTGTAACCTTGCAGCTATTTCATTTTGTAGGGGAAGGAAGGGTACACATAGTCAAGAGTACATTGATAATAGCACAGGTGACTCCTTAATTTTGCATGAAATTTCAGTGTTTACTTATAATCACATGTGAAATTTTAAAATTGCCATGGTAACGTTTGGCGTGAAACTTTTCAATACTATAAACATGTCAAAAATCCATGATTGCAAATAGTGTAATTCGTCACCCATGATATTAATAGATAATCAAATGGTATACAATTATTTCACTTGCATGTTGTCAGAATGCCAATTATAAGAGTTTTGACAAAATGTGCATGAAATTATTTTCTAATTTCACTTGTCACCATTTGATTATCTATACTAACGGGTCACCAATGATTGTCATATATCTGTCAGTACTGACCTGCTGCCTGACAGCCCAAGCTGAGCCATCAGGAACAGCTCTGCCTGACATGCCACCAGAACCTCTAGGTTTTGCCATTGTCCTTGCATGCGGAGTTAGATTATTACGATGGGCTTTGCCCAGCTTTGCTTTGATGCTGGTGAGACGTGTCCTCTCCCATGAAAACTTTCTCTTGGCATAACCAACAAGTTTCCTCTTCTTTTCTCCTGTGATGTTGTCTTCTTGGTCCTCATATTCAGACTCCTTACTGCTCATATAGCCCATGTACAGGATCTCCATTGTTAGCTGCTTCTCTCCGGGTGACATGGTTTCTTTTATAAATTCAAAGCTGGAGCAACGTCTACCCAGCTTCTAATGAAATAAAAAAATTGTTACTTAGATGTAAAATAATTGCAAAAATGTAGTGCTGTATGATTAAC